GAAAGTAATATAGATGATAAAGGAAATTTATTTAGAAGAAATGCGATAACGACAAATTCAAGCTCATGGAACAGGCAAAGGAAAGTCTAAAGGAAATTCGCAGATAAAAAATAGCTGGAGTGACGTTCAGATGGTTTGGAAAGGGTGAGACCCCCACCAAAAATCCTTTTCGATGCGATTCTCAGCCCTCCCTGCAGAGCTAACCCGCACGCCCTAAAGGATTCGCATCAACATGGAACGATGAAGACAGAGAGAAGGATAACGGCCCAGCCGACGAGCCGAGGGAGAGGAAAGCTGCTCTAAATCCAGCTTTCCTGGCCTGTCGAGACAGTTTCGTTTCCCTTCCCGTCTGGTGTTTACATCCAATTGTCAGATTCAATTCCATTCCATTCTATGCAGAACGGTTTGAGCGTGGGAGATATCCGAAGGGTATGCAAGAGTATACAAGGGTATACGCTTATGAATACAAGACTCAAAGAAAATTTGGATTCGGCAACGAAGTTTTGTAAACTCGGTTCTCCGCCACCGACGATTTCCTTCCCCCGATAGAAGACGCTCTTGAAGCGAATTAGTAGAGAAATAGAGCAGAAGGGCATGTACATGGGGATAATCATCCTCCTCGACGCTCCACTGCTTTTTTTAACATGGATGCGCGCAGTGATGATACGGTGCAAATGAAGGGAGAGAACCTGGCTGCTGTACTGCGCCGATTCCTTTCATTATGGAGAGAGGCGAGTGGAGGGAGGAGTATTTGATCCGGTATGGAAATCGGTCCTGGCGACCGTTAGCTTCAAAATACGACCGCAGATCTGACAGGAAAGGTGATCCGTGCGCCCTAGGCAACCTAGACACAAGGAGAGATACAAGAGGAGATACGAGGAGAAAAACCTTAATGTCCCACGTGGTTTCTTTCATCGTCAAGGATGCTTGCAATAGTCGGAGTGGAGGGAGGAATGGAATCGAGTCGAAAAGTCGATGGAAATTGGATAGCGGGGAAGCGGGAGCATATCGTGTCTGATCTCGAGACGTATTGTCCAGACGGAGGAATCGAAGGATCGAGAGGAAAGATCGTCTTATCAGCAAAGAGTTCTTTTCTTCTAGTTCCAGAGGGAAATGTTGAATATTCTAGCGATTGTCTTCCTGGAAAGGAGGAAAGGTGATATATGCACGAAATCGATGATTTCCGCAAGCAGTTGTTAATCCCCAGAGCCATTCGCAGACGGTAGGCATTCTGACGTTCAGATATATTCTGGCAGCCCATTTCTTCCTCTTTATTTTTTCATGCCTGCATAAATATTGATATTTTGCTTCTTCTTCGAAATACAGATTTCAAGAATCACCGATGGCTGAGAGTGCTGTTACAGAAAGGGTGCGCCGCTTCCTTGGTCGCCAGTTCCTGGAAGATCACCCCAGGTCGGCATCAGGAAAATGTGGTTCATGTGAATGAACTTGTCGATGATGGAAGGTGAACTATTGATATGATTGCAGGGGAAGTGGGTCTATTTCACGGTACGGTCCACGCCTTTCTCCATGTTAAATTGTAGAGGAGAAAGATCTGCGCAAGATCCTTCCGTTTCCTTACAGTTGTGCAGAATACGGAGCTTGTAGAACCAGCTGCTGCTCGAAAAATTTGGAGCCCGGGGGGGGGGGGGGGGGGGGGGGGTCTCTCAGCCATCGGTGATTCTTGAAATCTGTATTTCGAAGAAGAAGCAAAATATCAATATTTATGCAGGCATGAAAAAATAAAGAGGAAGAAATGGGCTGCCAGAATATATCTGAACGTCAGAATGCGACTCCAAAATTAGAACAGTCTCGGGGCACTCGAATCAAGTTTTACTTCAGGTGATCGACGCCTTCCATGGTTGCAGGAACTTCACCGACCCTCGTGGATGGACCGCGTAAAAAAAATCCCACAAATGATTATTTTCGTCGAAGAGGAAAAGGATCTACGTGCATCCGACCGATCGGTTTCTCGGGCACATTTTTTGCGGATAGGCCGCTCTTCCTTTCGGCCCTTCGATTATTCTAAGAACGTGAGGGCCGAGGTTCTTTTATTTTGTGGTCTGTCTGGCTTTTTCTAGATTCGACGAAAGCCAGACCCATCTCTCTGCCCCAAGGTCTTTCGACCTTGGGGCAGAGAGATACAGAGTGGTTCTAACCTTGGCTGTCTGGACTGGGGAAAGGTGAAATGAAGATAAATTTATATGGCTGCCGACGCTAATCACCCTCTTTAGAACAGGGTGTTCCAGAAATGAGCGAACTTGGGTCCTTCCGTCTTGCCTACGACCTAAAAAGGCTTGTAGGCTTCGCGCTTTAGGTTAAGGTAGCAGAGGCTAGGTCTGAGCGGCCCGGATACGAAATCCCCTATCTTCAGTCATTTCTGGGACACCCTGTACAGTATATGTATTCGTGATATTCACTCTCTTGAGTGAATATCACGAACTTGAGTGAATATCACCCACCACCCCATCGGAGGGGTGGTGGGTGCTGAGAAAGGCTGTGTCACTCTTTTATTTTTCTGGTGTCGGGAACAAAAGGGGGCTTGGAACCACAGTTGAGGGGCCAAGGCACCCCTCCTTTCCCCCCCCCCCCTTCCCCCCCCTCGTCTTTGGTCTTCAAATGAAAGGTTTCCGTCTCACTGTAATTTCACGCTGCTCACATTACTCACACGACGTAATCCCAACTGCGGCTGGAACTGAAATGCCGTTTTAAAATCAGTCTTTGGCCACGGAAGAGTTGAAAATCCCATCAGGGGGAACCGTGATGAGATTTAAATAAAGAAAAGGAAGAAATATAGAGAGAGGAGGTAGCCGAAGCCCTGAAACCGAAAGGGAACATTTTCCGCTCTCAAACGGCCATTTTGCGGGAATTGTACGAAATCTTCGGGACGATATTAACCCATTCCGAGTCTTTTAATAACGTACACAAATGAGCCTTCAGCGCAACCGAAAAGATTCTTTCCATCCCGACGCGAGTTTCGCAGCGTCTGGCTGCCGATTCCCCTGCCGATTCCCCTGCCGATTTCCCTGCCGATTCCCCTGCCGAATGTCTCAGAAGTTGGTCGCAGCCTATCGGGGAAACATAATTAAGGTCTATAATTAAATATAACGATGTAATGATATATATTTTAAGTACTCGCTTGGATTATCTCAAGGGAACCGAGGGCTTTCTCGGCAATCGTTTCATAAAGGAGAAGTTTCCACTTCTTTATGCATGTATGAAATGAGTAATAAGTTGTATGTTTATTCATGGCTCTTCGTTTTGAGTAGGCATTCCGAAATGCGGAATTTCGGAATGGAATTTCCCATGAGAAGTGGCGAGAATGGGCTTGGGGGAAATTAAGTCTTGCCTCGGGGGGTTTTAATTCGATTTCGTCTGAAATGAATTTATTTTAATTTTAAGAGGTTGTTAAGTAAAACGATCTCTCGTTTTCACATATGGGCGGAATGATAAAAAAAAGCGCTTCATCCGATCTTAGGTGAGAATCGACATGTGGAAGAAGTCCGAGGCAAAAATGACTTAAATGCCGACGGCGATACTTCTTGGACCTCAGAGGGCATGCCGTCGGCTGCAATGCGATCTCACAGTCTGCCGGAATTTATTTTGAGAATTCAGAAACGGAGGAGAGTTGTAGAATCCAAGCCTCTGGTCGACCAGAGGACAAATCTTAAAATGATGGAATTGCTGCTCGAAGTGCATGAGTTGTGAATGGGAATTGTGAGGAATTCCAGCTGATGATTCGGAGCTTCCCGTCCTGACACCTCGAGGAAGCAACCCGAAACTTCCGGTGACTCACCCAGATCGTGAGGAACTCTAACGAATATCATCTGACGAAGCGGGAAAGAGCGATTGCCCCTCCGGATAGGGGGGGGGGGGGGGGGGGCGGTCGAAGAACACGGTAGCTTCGTCTGCCCCGGCGGAAAAAGAATTGCTCGGCTGCATCAACATTTCCACAGTGAACAGCTAAGAGACGAAGTATGCAACTTTTTTTTTTGTTCTTTTCTTCTTTTGGGTCTCTCGAGCGGCCAAGAAATTCTTCGGGAGACGGAAGCGAGTCGGGACTATTTTTGACACTGGGGAATATGAAATACAGCGAGAATGATGCCCTTTCCAAGAAAGGGCATCATTTTCCTCTTTGAAAGAATTCTCATTTTCACCTTTCCGCGGGAAAATCTCGAGAATCGATGAGGACAATCCACGAAGAGAGAAAACTTGGATTCTTCTCATGAGAAATTCCGTCTTCGAAGTGTGAGCGCAATGAAGGCGGGAAATCCTTTCATTTCGTGGGCAGACAAAAAAAAATCTCGCGAAACGGAAGAACTGATTCCGAGAAGACGAATTGGATTTTACCAGACGATTTTCTCGTTTTTTGTCTCGCTTGGAGGGATTCTGGGCTTTTCCTCCAACATTTTCTCTTAAGAAAGTAAAGATCGTTTCGGTTGCCAGGCCAGAATTCCCTTTTCCGCATATTTGACCAGTAAATAATTTTTTAAATGATGATCTTCCGCGAATCGAATCGAGAAGCTTCACCTGAATTTAAAATAAATTCGGGATTCAGGCTCCAAAAGAGGTCGTTTTCGACTCAAAATGGCGTTCGACGAGGTCAAACGTTCTTTTTGAAGACGAAAAAGCATTTTCAGCGGAAGAACTGAAAATGTTTCCGCCCTGAAAAATCAACACCGAAAACGATGAAAATGGACGAGTTCGGTCGGACCGACTATAATTACTTATAAATAAAACTCATTCAGAGACATAAATAATAAATACGAACATGAATCCCACTGAAACGCTGTGATATTTGTAACTGCTGACTCCGTGCGACCCGACACGTGGCCCCAAAACCGCCCCAACCCGGCAGATAATTATGCATGGGAAAGAATCCGTCAACACGTGAATAATGAGGCCTTTCGTGATGAAAACCTCATCGAGCGCGTTAACAAAGCCAGGCGGCTCCTGGATGGAGCCGAAACGAAGTGAGCGATCGATGAGTTGAGGGGGGAATGGCGAGAATGGCGATGGGCGTGGGTCGAGATGGTGTCGACGAGGACAAGTACGTGGGTAAGTAAGGTTGTAGCGGGATTTCAATTTCATTTCATTCGGCGGTGGTTTTATTGCTTGTTTTGAGGTTCAATCGTTTTTATTTATTTATTTTTTTAAATCCCTGCGTAAGCTTGATGCGTTTCGTTCCTGTATCTTGATGATATATAATGACACATTTCCCTAAACTAATGCATTTTTATTTCGAGGAAGTTCGACTGGAAATTCTATCCATTATAATTTGTTCACGGCGCGAAGCAGAGTCGCATCTGAGCGCGTATTTTTACGTTGACTATGGTGAACATCCTCAATTCACTATTTTTTCATTGAAGAGTTGAAAAACTTGGGCAGCAATAACAATGAAATTAGTTAGGACCGAAATTACCTATAATTATCAAAAGGCATATGCCCCTTTTGTATATAATACATATAATATATGCCCCGTTTTCTGGAAACTGTTCTGGAGTACTATTACTAGAGTACCTCCAAATTGCATGAGTGTGCTTTAATTAGTACGGATGCAGGAATTAAATGAAAAAGGCTGAACTTTTTCGGCCTGTTCTGCATTTCTTATTGAAATTTTCGTATCGAAAAGAGAAACTTTAACGCAAGCATTAATTCATGAGTAAACTACCCCCCCCCCCCACACCCTCTTGGCCAAAATACGCTACCGTCTCAAGACATCACATATGGTAATGCTTGAGACGTGAGGCATCTTACTGATACCGTATATTGCAGTTCTTTTATGCGACTCAGCAATGTTCCATGGTGCAACCTCGACAACCGCCTGGGCGTGGCACTCCGGTTCCATCTCTCCTCGCCTTTCGATTTCGACCTTCCAAGCGTCTACCACGATTCTTTGCCGATATCGACGTTACAATTCTGGACTCATCAGTCATTGTGGTCGGGGAAAATCGGACTCGGGTCCATGCGTTAAAAAACATATGGACCTGGAGCCAATATTCTTCTTGCCACAGTGATGCAGCAAAGGAACGTGTCCTCGGAGCATCACAAAGGTCAGAGCATTGCGTAGCGACATTCGATTTGGTCGAAATGAGCCGTCCCGGAATACGCCACTCCTTTTCCCTGTTTGGCCCTTTAGGAGCTGCTGTCCATACACTGCACAGGTCGTGTGATCTTCACGACTCGAGAGGAACCATCACTTGTCACTGGGATATATAGGTGTCGCATGAGACCGTGAGCGGACGGGGGACTCGCTTCGATCGGTTGCTTCTCCGAAATTGGATAGTACATTAATGATATTTTGGATAATTTTTACTGGGGGAGCTGATGGTTGCCGCTATTATTGCTAATGGAGCCTAGCTGCAATTTTCCAAAGCAAAAAGGAAGGCTCCTTTATGGGCTATAACATAAACTTGCTATTACTATCCATTTCAGGATTAAAATGGGACTGAGGCGAGAGCGGATTGGAGTGGGAGGGAGGCGGATGTGGGATGGGACTGGGAGAGGGACGTGGGAAAATCGAAACGCATGGAAACCTTTGTAAGGGACAACAAATGCGCGAGACATTTTACGGTCTAATTTTTTAGGACACGTTTTCGTAATTACTCGTACAAAAGGTTGTTAGCCTCAATGGTTTGACTGGGCGACTCCTTGATTCCTTAACGGGAATATCCGTCCAATTGGAAAAGTTAGGACACCTCGCACTGCATCGATTTTTGTCCTGATTCAATATCTTTGGATTTCTATTCCAAGTTGTTTGGAAACTGATAAAATCCAGGACAGAGTGATTTTGGGCCAAATCGAAGATATCTTGGAATAGGAGGAAGTATAAAATTGAAATCGCCAACCCTGTCACGGCCCAATCGAGCATTGGACGGTAGGAGAGCATTCTAGTCGTTCCATGCCGCATTCAATGTCGATTTCCGAGGGTCTCTCGTATTTCTTGAATGCGGTCCTAAACTGCCTTCTTTCTTTAGGAAAAGTGGAACGTTGCACTATTAAAAAGAGGGTATTTGAAATATTCTTCTAGGTGTTTATTGGCTCAATTAAAGCACCCATGTTGATCCATAACCACCATAACGGTGGTTACATCACTCACGATGCAAAACGTCTGTCGATGCAATGAAATGCTGAAAGAGCAGAAATTCTTTTTCTTCGTCTCTCTCTGTCAGTCTGACCTCCCAGACTTGATTTTCTCCTCAGTTTCCATGTCTCGATTTCGTTTGACTACGTCTTTACCTCGTCCTAGTTTTCTGCCATTCCCATAGTTACTATGAGAAAATGGTTGATATTGCGATCGGTCTGTCACGTTTTCATTCCGTCTGTCCGAAGTATCCATAGCGACAGGCCAACTCGACTCAGTGCGCATGTGTAGCTTTCTGTCTGGGTCGGGGTCCCCGAGAAATCCCTTCCGGCCCTCGCGGACGACGAATCCAGAGTAGACAATAGAAGAGAGTGGCTGCTCGCGGCTGCGTAGACAGGGTTGCTGGGCGTGCAAGTGAAATGCCGCTTCTGGCATCCTACGCTTCATATTCTCCTACCATCTGTGCGACGCAGACGCGTAAACGCTGTCTATTTGTCCGGGACTTTTCATATAGGTCTATGACGTACCGATGACAGCTATTATTTATTTCAAAGTCGGATGGTTAGGATGCGGCAAAGTTAATTCCAGAGATAAAGGGGCCAGTGGAATGGCAGATCTGGACCTGGGCTGGTATTCCAGTTTTTTTTCCTTGCGCTTTCGTCCGAATGCTCTTGCAAGTGCTCCTTCTCCATCTGCCCTAATTTGCCTTTCTGCGAACTCCACGAAAGGCAGCCAAATACCCGAATATCTAATAAAACTGACGAGTACAATCGCTTTCTTTCAAAAAAATTCCCAACACAATTTTGGTCGCCCTACGTACTACTACTTCGTGCAAAGCACGACTGTTGTCCTCTCCCGTCTGAGATTACGCCCTTTTTTGTCTTGCTTCCAAATAAGAGCAGCTATATTTTTGGCATCCGCTTTAGCAAGACAGGGAAATTTAAAATCAAGGTTGGAATGAGCCTCCGTAGCAAGAGCTCGGCGAGGCATGACTTTTGCGGAAACAGGAAATGACAAAATTTCCGTCTCACCTTCGTTTGAGCCCAGACTTCATCTCCGGCCGACCGGATCTCTCTCTCTCTTTTCCCATTTTAGAGAATGAGGGACTATGGTACACACCCCGTTCGCATCCATCGTGCGCGAACCCAAGTCATTAGTCCCTCGGTCATCTGCGGATCATTTCAGGAGGAATGAAAAATGATGCAAATGATCACATTTCCAGTGATGAAAAGGGAAGGCTGGAGGGAGTGCGGGACAGTTGGTGAAAGGAATGCCTCGGGAGCAGACTCGTAATCGCCTGCCTCCGACACCATGGGAGCTGACGGGAATGTATGTCTTCTTTCCCTCCATTATTTTGCTATGAAGGTTCGTGATATTGCAAGGATTTTGGTCGATTTGATGATTTGTACTTAAGTCCTTTTCGTATCGAGCATCCGGCAGTAGAAGAACCTACATCTAGCATGATTCAATCCATCGTTGGCGATTGTTTTGGCGAAAGGCGGGAAAAGTGAAGGAAATTAAACTTACGATACGAGAACTGATAATTCCTCCAGTCCAGGTGAGATTCTAAGTGGTACAATCGATGCCATTGGTGTCGAATTCCCCGACGCTAGTTTCCCCCGCAATTTCGCATGCAACACTTGGGATGCCATGAAGGAAGGCTCAGTGACGACTAACCTGGGTTGAGGAAAATTTAAGGAGCTGCTTTCCATTGCTCTCTGCTCATGTAAAAGGATCTCTAAAGGATCCCTCGGGTGACTTGAATTATTCAGCTTTCTCAAGCTCTTTTCGTTGAGCCTCTCCTGTTTGCTTCTCCAATTTTAGGCCCTTTTCTTTCCATCAGAATGACATTGGGGAGAACGAGTATTTTCAACTTAGAAAAAGTCGAGAAAAATTTCGCTAGCTTCATTTGGCACGACTGCCCCTCCCCCCCCAGCAACTTCAACTTTACCTTCTACTTTAAAGCAAAAGTCAGTCCAGTTCCAGGAAAATGGCGTTTAGGAGTAGTAGGAAGGACTTGTACTGTAATACTGAAACTTAAAGCTACAAAGTGCAGGCGTGACATGCAATGCGTTCAATTGAACCGTCAGAGTTCATGTGCTTGTCAAATAAATTTTAGTTCTTTGTCATGTATCTGCAAAGAGTCAATCAGTCATAGGGACCAATTTTTAGCTGATTTTTCGTTCTCTCATGAAACTGGAGGCCGATGTCAAAGTCATCCCACTCTGAATTTCCCTGAAAGTTTGCCTTCGTTTCGTTTCAAGCGAAAAAGAAAAAATAAAGGACACCCCAACAGGATTGAAGTGGCCTTAGTGCAAACAAGTGCAGTTTCATGAACTTGGTGCTATTTCAAAAAATGAAACCACCTCTTTTCTTTCGTTCATGTAGTCAAAAGTTGTTAACGCCTGTAGAAAATTTTCAAATTATATTTTGCAGATGGGGAAAATATTTCTTCTGGCGATACTAATGATGTTGAGATGTACACCGGTCAGTAGTTGCAGGACATCCTCCCCTGTCTTCACGTATTCTGTAATTGAGGGTCTGGATGTGACGATCCTCAAGGAACTGGGACGGCGAAATTACTCCATCTCCAAAGCATTATGCTTCGTGGACTGCAACAGGTGTGGATCTACTAGGAAAACACCCACTAAAGGGATTAGATGGACACTACATAAAGCCAAAAGTCAAGGCCCACTCATGCAAATGATGATTGACATTGCCACTGAAGGATTCGGTAACCCAGTGACTGCCAAGCAGAAGGCATATACGACATGTTCAAAGCCTGGAGCATCAGTTCAGCACGATGGTAGCACGACAGAGCCTTCTTACCTTATAAGGGGGCATGATAGTTGAATTGCAATTAGGGGGAAAGTCCTATCTCGCTACTGCTACTTTTTGCCCTGCCCCGCAGCGCAATGCGTATTGTCATAACACGATGGAAGATTCATGGACCCACTGGCCCTTGAAGAAAGGGAAAGCCTTTGAAAAATGGTTTTCACGTTACTTTATACGTTTATGACCTTGTCCTTCTCAATAACGAGTGACAGAACCTCTCCATTTTCGGGCAGGTAAATAGGTTCGGTCGTGTTATTCATGCCACGGGGGAAGGAGGAAGGGGGGGGGGTGGAGGCAACATTAAATTGAGAAGCGATGTAATGGCAATGGACTGCATATTCATGGTTGGGCCTTTGCTTTTGCCTAGGTGGTATAAGTGTAAGTGCAGCATCGATTCATAGATCCATTGAAAAAAAAAAACAACCTGCATGCCACATTTCCCCTGACAGAAATCCTGGTTGCGATGGGATAACATTCTCGAATAAGGAGAGTGCTTGCATCATCTGGAAGGCAGACAATGTGAAGTTCGAAAGAAGGGAATCTCCTCCGGGTACTCACTATTCACGTATGTCCTTTTCCAATCTACGACTGTTTCTCACTACGAAGGCAAACCGTTGAATTGTGTGAACCTCTGAATTCATTCCCCCCCCATACTCAAAGAAAAAGAAGTCATTTTGAGAGATGCAATTCGAACAGAGGGAACTGGAGTCAAGGTCATTGTTCTCACTGCCTTTTATCGATAGATTTCCCACTCTTTATATTCATCACTCCTTCACTTCGAGTCGAGTTACTTCGTAGATCCCTCGTGTTGCCTTAATAGAGACTGCTTTGCAAGGAGCGTTGCGGAGGGGCAGCGTGAACGCTTATCGATAATTGATCTGCCGTTAAAATGATATCTTTCATCCTCGCTGCGTAGGACGTCGCTGCGGAAATCCGCACCCAGAGACGACGGGGAATGTGGAGTACATATATTACGACGGAAAATTGCCAGCACCCGTTGGAGGGACCGCGATTTTCACGTGCGGCGAAGGACAGGTTTTCGGCGACGGAGCCCCGAGGCACAACGCTATTTGCTACGGTGGGGACACTTGGATACTTTCGTTTTCCACGCTCCCAGAATGCCTCGGTGAGCGATCGAAGAACTCATTGCCATCTTGCATCTTCGTTGGTTCTTCTATTCAAGCGCGATTGATGATACCTTCATTTCGGAAAGCACCGAACCACAGTTTCACGTTGATCGCATTTCATGAAAGAAATTGAACTATTTGGGAACATTGTATCCGTTTAGAAGAATGTATATACGTCCGTGTATAAAAAGTAGAATGTAGAATCTAAGTACAAAAATGAAACCAGACAACGCGCAGCCAGAAGTGAAAATCCAAAGGAGCCCGTGCGTGTCATGGGAGCAAAACACAAAGAAATGGGTTTCACGAGCGATGAAGTTATTCTGATAATTATTATTCTATAATTACTGGAACCTTCCTAACCCGACCTTGCCATTCGTTTTGTGCGAGGAAGGAAAGAATATTTCAGACCGTTTATTTCATTCAAGATTACAACTTCCACTTTCACAGCAATATGACGGTGGAGGAGACTAATTGGAGCATGCTTTGTCCGGTATTATTTATTCCCTGCTTCGAACAATAGGCCGGAATAAATAAAAAAAGAAGGTAAAATTCAAAGGTAAGGGACGAACTTTCCTGCGTTTCTCCATATTTCTTGCAAGATTGCGATTCGTATCGCTTCCGTCGTGGAGATGAGACTCTCTTAACGATGAATTTCATTATCATGGCGGTGATGATGAATGCAATATCCTTTACCTGGTTGAGGAAGCGGTTGAAAATTTTGTGGATCCGACCGGCAGCGTTTTAGAAATTGATGAGTCACCCTAGGACGTTTGAAGAAACAAAAAAAAGCCGTTCCGAGTTATCGTCATTCTTCTCAGCCCTGACGAAACAGTAACATGGCCGAGATGGAGAAACTGGGAAGCCATCCGAGGAAGCGCTGTCGTCTGCGATGGCGAAATTCATCGAAATACGAAATTGCAGCTTTCATTATTCCTCGTTGAAGTCATTATGAGCTTCCCGAAAACAATAGCGTTACGGAAGCCGAGTTTTAACCAACAGGCGCGTCTTACCTTTCTTCAACCCCTTCCCGTCACAAAATTCCACTTCGCATTCCTCTCTAAGAGCATCTAGAAGAACGATATTGGGACTGCTTCTTGCCCTCTCTACGCAGAATCGCTCCAGCAAATTTGAAGCTCCATGTCCCCGGGGTTGCGGAGAACACTAAATATGATTTTTTTTTGCATAGGTGAATTTTCTCTGGTATACCTCGTATATTTTTTCCTTTTTGGTGTGTTTTCAGAGGAGATACCCCCACCAAAAAGAAAAGAAATTGACGTGTAGATCACGAAATGTGCCGTTTTTGTCGTTTACGATCATTTCGCTGTGAAAAAAATTTACCTGTCGTTGATTTAGGCTTTAGCGTATGGACTCCAGTCTCATTCCAAAAGGTTTTCTGGATATTATGCCGGAGTTATGTCGGATTCATGACTGCTTCCGCCTTCGTATCCTGTATTTTTTTTTATGTATGATGCATTTCTGCGCTGGGTTCATGGGATGAGCCGAGATCGAAACGGTGGTTCGTGGTGGCCGCAGTTTTGGATGACTGCTCTCTTCAGATCTCGTCGAGATCGCGAGAGAAACCCCAGACCGACCTTACGTTACTCGTCTTCGTCGAAGTCGTTCGTGAATGGCAGAATAGGTCCATCGTCGGCCTAACGTTAGCCATCCTCTTCGAGACGTCGCAAGAACCCCGAGATCGACTGTCACATCATATGATCGTAGGTAGTTCAACGGGTTAAGCCTTTCGAAAAAAAAAGATCTAGGCCCGAACCGACGATAGTCCGTGGATTAGGCCGACGTCTGACGTTAGTGTGTCTCGTAAAGAGAGGAAGGAGGAGGAGGAAATTGAAGAAAGGGGAAAACCTTTCAAAACTGGTTTTCCTGCTACAGGGTCATTTTTAAAACAGTTCCTAGTTTCCTGTTCGCATAAGTTTTATTATAATGACTTTACAGTAGCCAAATTTGCACAGAAAATGTGGAAGACATGGGAGATTCGTGTGGACTCGTGACATATCCGATGTGACCTCCATTTTCATTACTCATACGGCGCCAAACGGAGAATAATCGGGAATAACAAGGGAAGATTGCCTCAATGCTAACATAAAACGTTTCTCTACGTTACTTTCTGTCGCCGGTTGGCGTATCTGGATTTTGTATGGACATGCAAGTACTGGTATAGAAAATCGTTGATGTTGCTGAATAGAAATACCAAGTTGTTGTGAAGCTCGTCGGACGCTCTTTCTGGGATGCGGATTTACATTTGTCGGACGAGAGCAATATTTTGCGGGGCACGAGCGCCGTTGGCATGTTCGGAATGGCCATTTCTACGGTCCCTGGCATCGTTTTCGATTTAAAATGCTTAAGTCTGGTATTAGTCTTGGTAGATGGTGCATTCTTGGTCTGAAAGTGCCGTCGATACTGGCTTTGGACACTTACAGGCGATTCGTTTCGCTTGAATTACCATTTCACAAATAATTTCTGCTCCTCTGTTCTCCTCCTCCCCCATATTGCTTCAGCGCTGCCACCTAGAATATTTTCCCATGATTCATCCATGTTTTTGAACTCACACGAATCTCCCATGCCTTCTTCATGTTCTGTGCAAATTTGGTCACTGAAATGTTATTGCAAAAAAAGCCATGTGGATTTGAAACAAGGAACTGTTTTAAATATCACCCTGTAATTAATTACATGATGGCTCGTCAAGGAGCGCCTGTTTTCTTTAGGATGGCTCTTTTTTTCCTTCTTAAATGTGCTTCCGAACGTGAAGATGTTGGCGATCCCGAAGGCGAACTTGGTGGCGATCCCGAAGGCGAATATGGTGGCGATCCTAAAGACGAATATGGTGGCGATCCTAAAGACGAATATGGTGGCGATCCTAAAGACGAATATGGTGGCGATCCTAAAGACGAATATGGTGGCGGTGAAGAGTATGGGGCATATGAATAAACTTTTACTCTTGAGACTGAATTATTCAAAAATTGTCATAATTCTTCATCGAAGGTTGATTATAGCTCATCCTATTAAAGACCGTTCCGCGATATAATTCAGTTTTGATTACAGTAGCTAATGACCATACCACCAGAGGAAAACTAGGTAAATGGCACGATCACTTTGGTCTACTGCAGACCCAACATTCTTCTTTCATCTCAGTGGATCTGTGGGATCAAAGAATCAAAAGTGAGCGGTAAACTAGAGACCACCTACATTTAAATTTCTCTCCACGTGGGCGTCTATGGCCTTGATCTCCTCGTCCAACAAGTTTTGTGCGCGCAGGAGTGCCTTAAATAAAGGTTTAAGAAGTTATTACATGATGACCTTTCCGATTTTGGACTCCACTCGTCACTTTTGTATCATCCTTTCGACCAAAGGTTTTATCTGGAATGAAAAACTCCACGTCGACTGAAGAGTTGTTCCTGAATTTTTGGAGGTGGCTTTGGCCCTCGAGGATCAGAATGGTCAGGGAGGTCCACCTCCAAGAACTACGATGGTTTTTCGAGCTCATTCTTCAGATCTTGCAAGCGGAAATGGAAGCGCGTACGTAGAGTACAATATTTTTAAATCAGCAAAAAATACACGGGATTGTAAAATAAAAACAGGCAAAAATATTTTCCGAACAAGCTAAGCGCCGATTATCAACGCCGAAAGCGAAACGATGCCATTCCAAAGTTATCCAGTTGATTCTTATTTAGTGGCATGATCTTCCGTTACGACGCCTGTCTTTTGCTCCGATAGGACTACATTTCCGATTCTCGCAACGTACTGCAGATGTCACTATGTGGAGGCTCGAGGAGGCTTATCAATCTCTTTTCATCTTGTATCGGGACTTTTTTTTAGTGGAGTCACAAAATCATGCGTATAAACTCGGGGCCGTATTCTATTAAAATCTTAAACTTTGTTAAAGCAAATTGCTCAATCTCGGTCATGCATTTGAATGGAACAAATACCAGCTAAGCACCTTGCTAAGAGGAAAATCACACTGAAGAACATAATAGAATACGCCACCTACTTAAATATTGTATTGAAAACGATGAATTTTCAATGCTCCCATAGAGAAAGATTTGCAAATAAATACATATTTTTTTTTACAGTCTATTGTCTGTAGCATGCACGTAAGGGACTGTTGACTATGGACACAACCTCCTGGATACAATTACAAACGTTCATTGAAGGAAGGCTCACTTTTGGAATCCAACTTCCATGATTTCTTCGGATTGGTCACAGGTTTGGCGCTGGCTGCTGTTTTTAAGTCATCAGGAATGTTAAAACATATTTCAAAGCACTTTCGATCGCAAATTTTACCAGACGTTCGACATCCTTCGGGAAAAAAAGGAAGTATCGCAACCGATCATGCCTCCAAAAGCAAGAACGAAGAAAAGTAAACACTTGAAGAATCTCCTGCAACGGGATTCAACGTCTTCCTAATAATACACAATTGTTATATCCTCTCTCGAGGACCTTACTTTTTCCTCGTGTCCCGTGATGTGATTTAGCAAGATCGAAGGAATCATTTTTTTTTTCAGATCGTTTTAAACTCATCAGCATCGCAAGGCTTCATCTCAATACAGGAACGTAGAACTAAATGAAAAAGTTGCGATGCCTGCCGATGAGAATTATACGGAATCACCCCTGCAGCTTTATGGTTTTAAGCCATTAAGAGAAATAAGTTGCTGTAATTTCATCTAGCTTTATCATGGTAAAACAAGCACATTTGGAAATCAGAGGGTTAACCAGAGTCATAACGCAGACGGTGACTGACCTTGCGAAGCGTAAACCGGTATAGTCCGATGAGAAAAAAAGATGGGGGGACTACACCCTGGGGTCACCGATCGGCATTCACGAAGGTTCCCGCGTTTACCTAGTCAAGTGGATGCCTGGATGCTTATGGCATAGTGGCGGCGACGAACTGCTGGGTGCAATTATTTGCCTCTTTCTCCGCATAAAATCGATAGGAAGAACGGTAAAAATGTAGTCTAATGCAGGGACGCGTCACAGTATGCAAGAATGCTTTACGTTCGCATACGCGTGAGTTGGGTTCACATTTCCATCTGTAGAGAATATCTACGAGAGCATGATTATTTGAAGTCGGATCTGAATTTGAATGGCAGGGAAATATTCTGTGTCCTTGTTCATGGGGGTGTGGTTGGACATGATTTATCGCTTGGGATGGGGGGGGGGGGGAAGGGGTGTGTGGTTTCTGAAAAGGGTTTCCAGCGTCTATAAATCATTCTAATCGAATGGAGAGTGACGGCAATGTTAGAAACTGGCAGGATCGAAGCCCATCAGATAAGATCCAACCATTCAGACTCTACTCTCTTTAATCGCATTGTGTGCTTTTACAGATGCGGAAACTCAAGTTCCTAGAAGCTTTTACCTACCTGTCTGTATAGGAATATTGATGCAACGTTGTAATAGCATTGAGACTTTATCATTCAAAATGTTGAGTCAACGTCCAAGAACATTCATAGCCACATTGAATTAACATTGCCTCAATGTTGAAATGAGACAGGTCTCAACTATGTCCAAACATACAGTGCGCATGGGCCATTTCATTACTGCAGTATTCTGTGAATTATCAGCGCGATCTCAACCCCTTCAATATCGAAATTAGAGATGCCCCTCTTTCATCTCGACTTAAGACTCTATGCCGAGATCATATAGAGACATTCCGATCTCGCGGAAAGAAGACGCCAGAGTGATTGCAGCCAAAGAAAATATGGCAGGTAGTCAGTCCATGGTTCCTTCCGTGCGACCCGCAGGATCAGATTTAAGGTTTTTTTCTAATAAAGGCGGAGGGGATCTCAAGGAGTCACGTCAACGCGTCAACTTCTTTCCATTCTCCACCAGAAGGGCCAAAATTACCCAGGGTCGCATTGGGTTGGGTTGCCTCTACAGGTGATTATATCCAGAAATTCAAATACCTTCCTCGGTGTTGTCGATGGAGAAAATATCAATTACCATTTAAAAAGTTCTGGGGACGCGTGCCGGTTGCTATATGAAGTAACGAAGTAACGCCCTGTGTTTGTCGCTATCTCAATCGAGGGTTAGGGAACCTTCTTGGTTCGAGTGTCTCGCCCGACATATTGGTGTAATGCCTGGACAATGTCCTCGGAATCCTTATTATTTCAACATCACGTCAAAGTTGACTACGCATTGGATCATCAGCATCAACGTCCCATCAACATCGTCAGTATATTATAAACGTTGAGTCAATGTTGTCGTGCAAGACTGAGGGGACTTTCAGGTTTTCTTCTCTCCTACCCTCTCTTTCCCACCTGATTCATTTTCGGGTCTCAAACATCCACTATTTCTTATCGCAGTCTACATCCATAAAAGTGCGCTAAAGCTGGCGGATGAAGCGGCTGCTCGACAAATGGAAGGAGTCGTTGAGGAACTCCAGCAGATTGGTAGCAAGACAGCAGAATAAGGTCATGTTGCCCCTGAGCCATCTTCAGGGCCCGTTCCTGCTCCTCGGAGTCAGTCTTGGCTTCTCCGCCTTGGTTTCCAATGCGGATGTTTCTGCCGCCTTTTTCCCCAAGAACCGGTGAAAGTACCGGGGCAATAATAGTAATTGCAAGTCTCATCCCATGTATCATTTTAATTAACGCCAATCGTTTGAACTATCGCTTATTTTCAGACGAGCATAATGAAATTCGCCATCCTCCGTTGTCATTCACTTGAAGTTCAAGAAATTTGCTGTTCCTGCTCCTTCCACCAATTCAGGTTTCGACTTTGTACGAGGTATTCGTGACTCCATCCTTTGTGCTTATATGGTTACAACTACATGCAGCAAAGTATTAGACAAACAGATGTGAAATAAGTCTAAAAATAAATACATTCTATTTTACTCATGTATGTGATGAAGGCAGTGTTGAGAGGCACAACTGAATGTCCTGGGTTCGGTGGTGTAATGTAATGGTAGCACACCTGACCGGCAATCAGGAGGCCCGGGTTCAATGCCCGGCCGTCCCCTGGCTTTCTTTCGTCCTCTCTCATCCATCCAACCTCCCTACCTTCAGTTATTCACGTGACAACTTGGTGGCAGCAGCGGAGCGAACCCACGCTTCGGAGACTGGTGAGTTTGTCTGGCATTAGCGGGGTCTACGCCCACCTACGGGTGGAATTGGACTGGCCGTGGCACGAGATGTGAGGGTGGAGTTGTGGAAGAGGCACCTCGTCGTTTATTAGTGCTAAAAGCAAATCCCGGAAAAAATTATCCCTCAAGCGTTGGAGTTCTTTAACTCTAGAATTCGAAGGTGATAGTTGCATTTTCCAATGGGTGAAGTAGTTCTATATTTTGTGAAAAGCCATCAGAACCTAATTCAGAGATATGGGTATATATAAAGAAACGTATTTATATCATTGGTTGAGTGATGTCTAGAACTGCTCCGGGGACCCATGCCGAATGTTTGCCGAAACGAAACTAAAAAAGACTATTGACATCCTATTGATCCTGGCGTCTTTTCGCATCCATTCTAATTTCTGCCGAGGTTAATCGCTCATGCGAGTGCTGCTGCGATTAGGGTATCTATAGTCGTTCCTCTCGAGAGGGCAACGAACGACTGATTGACATTATGCTCTTTGGCACCGATACTGACCTCTGACTTCCTGAAGGTTAAGTCAGGACTTTTGCAATGTTACTGCCCTGGGAAGAGTAAGTGGCACCCCAATTCTCGACATTTCGTCCATCTTGGTACAAAATTCCTGAGCTTGTCCTGCTTTTGTAAATTCCGTAAACAGTCACGATCATGTAGAAATGCTCTCATATATTCCAAGACTAACATGGACTTTCGACAACTTGTTTGCACTTGCTTGAGAACATGAACCCTTTCCCTTGTATGCCTTTGATTCTTCTTCGAAACCCTTATGCTTCCGTTTGCTGTTGTAATTCTGCATTCCTGAAAGAATGTAGAGGGGGAAAAGGGGAAAGGGAATGCACTTTGGAAGTA